AACTCTATCTTTCAATAGAAGCATCTTACCGAACAAAATTTCATATCTTCAAAATTTCAAGCCATAGAGGCAAAGTTGTTCAGGTGAATAAGATCTATCTTTTGGCATCATTCGATTCGATCTAGATAACTGTATTTTGATCTAGATCAGCTCGATCTGGTTAGGAAGCACGCAATTAAAACTAAATATTCAACAAAGGTTTTCAGATAGATAGGAGGATACCGTTAGAACTGTCCATGATTACTACATGTTGATCTAGATCAATTAGGGGAAATACAGGTAATATTGCCCTAAGTGTCCCTAATTTAAGCCCATACATAAATTCAGCAAACGACTAAATTTTCAATAGCAACCAAAAATATCCATTAGTAACATCTCAATAACGCGTTCATCTAGATAAAATTGATAAATAGCAGATTTTTAGCGATGGGCCCAATCTTAGATCCATAGGCCAACATTAGAGACATTTCCCCTATATCTTTTGGTAGAAGCATCTTATTGAAGCAAAATCTTCAGCAAAGTTGTTTATGTGGATAAAAGCTGTCTTTTGGTATAACCGATTTTGATCTAGATCACTATTTGTTATTTCTATGACAGTTCTATATTATAATAAAAGCATCGCAGCAAACAATTTGTGCTGATTAAAGGCTGAATATGCTATGTTTAAGCTAAAGTAGCATATTTTTACCTCAATAAGCTCTTGTTCTGCATCCGATGTTTGTTGGGAATGTATAGAAGCAAAATCACGGACAGAGTTATTCAAATAGAATAGATCAATATTGGGACATAATAAAAATTTATTTAGATCGCTTGGGATCCAAAACAGTTATATTTGATAGAAGTATCCCATGATGTTATGAAAAGGCACATTTATGGAATTATTTATTTATGTTCCATTTATGTTTGAATAAGTAACTCTTAATCTAATTTGATTGGAAAAGTAGCTGTTAAACAATTGGACTAACGATTTCAAGCCAATAATGAAAGTTTTTTTATTCATAAGATAACCAAAAATATAATGCGAACATATACACCCAAGTAACATTAGCAGATTTATTGAGGTCTTAAAGCACTCTTCAAGCCTAAACAATAGTCTTCGAGGGCATGATAAAACCACCTTATTTATATGAATTATTAGATCGAGCTTCATTTTAGAAAGCAAATTTCCAAATGGATTCAAGACAATTTATCAAGAGGAATTATGGAGAGGGATTCTAAAGAATTTCCCAAGAGGGATTTTATAGAATTTACAATACGGATTCTAGAGAATTTCCCAAGAATGATTCTAGAGAATTTCCAAAGAGGGATTCTACAGAATTTCCCAACAGAGATTGTACAGGATTTTCCAAGAGAGGGTTCTAGAAAATTTCCCAATAGTGATTTTAGTTAATTTTATCAAAAAGGATTCTAGATAATTTCTCAAGAGGGATTCTAGAGAATTTTCCATAAGGCAGGCATGGAAAATCAATTCCATTCATTTCGTGCATTCATTTACATTAATTTGCCTCTAACTTTGTTAATCCTCAGAATTCTGTAGAATAATGTATGAAGCTTTTGAAGGCTTTGATATAAGCTACAAGTTTGTTAATAATCAAATTGATCAGGATCCACCATTGTTTGCAGTGAATGTAAATTACATTCACTGAAAAACAATAACAAGTTCTGCCCGCTCATGTCATGTATCAAATGTACAGATTTAAATTATTGACAAAAGCTATAGCTTTATATATATCATTTAACAGAATTCTATGACTCAAAAAAGTTCGAGGCAAATGAATGTAATTGATTTTCCATACCTGCCAAGAGGGATTCTAAAGAATTTTCCAAGAGGGATTCTAGACAATTTCCTACGAGGAGTTTTAGAGAAGTTTCCAAGAGGGATTCTAGAGAATTACCCAGGAAGGATTCTAGAGAATTTCCAAAGGGGGATTCTATAAAATTTGGCAAGAGAAATCCTAGAGAATTTTCCATGAGGGATTCTAAAAAATTTCCCTAGAGGGATTCTAGAGAATTTGTCAAGAGGGGGTTCTAGATAATTTCCCAACAAGGAATCTAAATAATTTTTCAACCGGGATTATAGAGAATTTCCGAACAGGAATTCTAGGGAATTTTTCCTTGAGGGATTGTAGAGAATTTTCCAACAGAGATTGGAATTTCCCAACAGGGATTCTAGATGATCTTTACAAGAGCGATTCTAGAGAATTTTCCAGAGGGATCCTAGAGAATTTCACACAAGGGATTATAGAGAATTTCTCATGAGGGATACTAGAAAATTTCCCAAGACAGATTCTAGATAATTTCCCAAAAGCGATTGTAGAAAATATCCCAAGAGGTATTCTAGTGAATTTCCCAAGAGAGATTCTAGAAAAAATTCCAAGAGGAATTTTAGTGAATTTCCCAAGAGGGATTGTAGAGATTTTCCCAAAAGGCATTAAAGATAATTTCCCAAGAGGGCTTCTAGAGAATTTCCCAAGAGGGATTCTAGGGAATTTCCCAAGAGGGGTTCTAGAGAATTTCCCAAGAAGGATTCTATAGAATTACCCAAGAATGATTCTAGAGAATTTTCCAACAGAGATTGTGGAAAATTTCCCAACAGGGATTCTAGATGATCTTTACAAGAGGGATTCTAGAGAATTTTCCAGAGGGATCCTAGAGAATTGCACACAATGGATTAAAGAGAATTTCCCATGAGGGATTCTAGAAAATTTCCCAAGACAGATTCTGGATAATTTCCCAAAAGCGATTGTAGAAAATATCCCAAGAGGTATTCTAGTGAATTTCCCAAGAGAGATTCTAGAGAATTTTCCAAGAGGAATTTTAGTGAATTTCCCAAGAGGGATTGTAGAGATTTTCTCAAAAGGCATTATAAATGATTTCCCAAGAGGGGTTCTAGAGAATTTTCCAAGAGGGGTTCTAGAGAATTTCCCAAGAGAGATTCTAGAGAATTTCCCAAGAGGGGTTCTAGAGAATTACCCAAGAATGATTCTACAGAATTTCCAACAGGGATTGTGGAGAATTTCCCAACAGGAATTCTAGATGATCTTTACAAGAGGGATTCTAGAGAATTTTCCAGAGGGATCCTAGAGAATTTCACACGAGGGATTATAGAGAATTTATCATGAGGGATTCTAGAGAATTTCCGAAGAGGTATTCTAGACAATTTCCCAAGAGGGATTGAAGAAAATTTCCCATGAGGTATTCTAGTGAATTTCCCAAGAAATATTTTAGAGAATTTTCCAAGAGGAATTTTAGTGAATTTCCCAAGAGAGATTGTAGAGATTTTCCCAAGGGGGGTGTAGAGAATTTCCCAAGAGGTATTCTAGAGAATCTCCCAAAAGGCATTCTAGATCATTTCCCAAGAGGGATTCTAGAGAATTTTCACAAAGGGGTTCTAGAGAATTTCCCAAGAGGGATTCTAGAGAATTTTCCAAAAAGGATTGTGGAGAACTTCCCAACAGGGATTCTAGATGATCTTTACAAGAGGGATTCTAAAGAATTTTCCAGAGGGATCCTAGCGAATTTCCCAAAAGGGGTTCTAGAGAATTTCCCAAAAGCGATTGTAGAAAATATCCCAAGAGATATTCTAGTGAATTTCCCAAGAGAGATTCTAGAGAATTTTCAAAGAGGGATTTTAGTGAATTTTCCAAGAGGTATTGTAGAGAATTTCACACGAGGGATTGTAGAGAATTTCTCATGAGGGATTTAGAGAATTTCCCAAGAGGGATTTCAGAAAATTACCCAAGAAGGATTCTAGAGAATTTTCTAACTGGGATTGTGAAGAATTTCCCAACAGGGATTCTAGATGATCTTTACCAGAGGGATTCTGGAGAATTTTCCAGAGGAATCCTAGAGAATTTCACACAAGGGATTAAAGAGAATTTCCCATGAGGGATTCTAGAAAATTTCCCAAGACAGATTCTAGATAATTTCCCAAAAGCGATTGTAGAAAATATACCGAGAGGTATTCTTGTGAATTTCCCAAGAGAGATTCTAGATAATTTTCCAAGAGGGATTTTAGTAAATTTCCCAAGAGGGATTGTAGAGAATTGCCCAAAAGAGTTTCTAGATAATTTCCCAGAAGGGATTCTAGAAAATTTCCTTCAACTATGGCAAATCCCGTGAGAAATTACAATGAATCCCAGAAATAATTCCGGAAAATCCCAAAATAGATCCTGGAGAACATCGATAGGGATTCCCTGGAATCCTTCTTAGGGCTCTCCGGAATCCCTCCTGATGCATTCCGGAATAGCTCTTGGGACTCTTGTAAATATCTTTTGGAGTTTACCGATATTCCTCTTCCTTGCAGCAGAGATTCTAAATTATTGTTATTCTTATTGAGAACCAAATATCTACGTCTCATTATTCGATTGCCATTTATATCCTGTGCTATCTAGTAGCTAAACCGTTCTAAAAAATTATATTATTTTCAGCGATACATAGCGCACACGCAACTACACGCCCGATGAATTGGCCGGACCACATCCTTAGGGTTTTATAGTCCGCAAGAGCGCTCGGTATATCCGATTCAGTGGACATTTTAGGCTGATTTGAGAAATTTCAACGATGGATAAAGTAGGCTTCATAGTTACTAGACTCCTCCAATCCGATCAACTTTGATGTCAAGGACGCAGGGTTTCGATGACGTATCCGAGGAAGTTGAATTACAGGTTCAATAATCATGAGGACCATGTGCCATTATTCCTGCCCACGCTAGGTATCAAGAATTCCAAAGATTTCTGAAACAGAACTTAATGCATTAGTCAGCGATGCCATCTGCTCTCAATGTTTCCTATCTTTGCATTCTGATATCTGGTCCTGGACTTTTCTGGCAAACACCACTGAAAGGCATCGTAAACTATAATATTTATTTTAATACACCCATTTTGTGTAAATAACCCTTATGCCAGTTCTCAAATAGTCTGCTATTGGTCAAAGAAATGTTTCAGCAACAGAAACGTCAGCCTAATCTAACTAATATTTTCCTCACCGTCCAATTGCAGGACCAAGTGGTGCAGCACAACTCGAAAACCGGTGTGATAATGAGCAGCACGGCACTGGCGCTGCAAGCCGTCACCAGACATCAGGCTGGCAACTACACCTGCATCGCGTCGAACGTCGAAGGAGACGGCGAGAGCAACACCGTGGACCTTAAAGTGATGTGTAAGTACCCAAAGCCCCCATAGCTTAAGTTCCCGATCAACCGCATCTCGTCGACTGAAATGGGCGAAACAATTCCAATCTGATTACCACGGTTCACCGGTTGCCGCTCGCAAGTGTATACAAATTGACATCTTATTCTCGGTAGCATTATCGGTGCGGGGATGATACACAGAATCCCGCACTGAACCCGATTACCTTTCCCAGCTCCTGGAACCCCCTCTGTCATCATGATACTATGTACAGCGACGAAGAGCAGCAACGGTGGTGTCATATTAAAAATGTATACATACAACATCGTCAAGCACATTGCTCGATGACTGCAAATTGACTTTCAACAAGCTCGTATAGTCGATAAGATGTACTCTGGTATGCTCTCTGCCTCCCCCTGTTCATATATGCGCATAGTTGGCATTCATACATATTCGTATTTGGCACCTCTTTTCCCGCGCGACATATCCAAGGATCCCGTATGGGACGGCAACAGCGAAAGCAATACAGCCAGCAGTGTGTCTTCTTTCTGGAGGAAAACGATCCGGGAAAAAGAAAGTGGAAACAAAGTACTCAACACAATTTTCCTCGGAAGCCCCTCGACCTGCCATGGACGATGTCGCTGCGCTGGGGAAGCTTGGAGAGAAACTATATATACAAATTTGTTTCCATCCCAAATGTGTGCGACGAAAGCGGGCAGGAGGCTCACTGCTGACAAACTGCTACAGAAAGTGTACTTTGGTACTCTGGGTACTAGAGTAAATTGAGCCATCCATGGCAAGTTCGTTGTGACCTCCATCCCCTTTGCTGTGAGCTGCAAGACGATGAAGACGGTGATGTCTGCTGCTGACAATCCCGACGACGGCGACGACGACGATGACGGGACGACACTTTGCGAGATGTTGGCGATGATAATAATAGTGGCAATTTATGAAACGGATTACATCGTATTTATGCACGTACCTACTTTGAGAGGTTTCGATGATTCGTGTTGCGTATGGCTGCCAGGAAATGATGGGAGCAAAGGGGATGTGTACGAGGCAGATGGTCGAGGTGGCTCCAAGTTGGTTCCAATGGTAATCGAACCATTATGTGGTGATGAAAAAAATTTCTGTGCTGTTTCTTGGGATGTCCGTTAAGTTTTAAGAATTTTGTGATAACTGTAGCTTTCCTTCAACAATTTTAAAGATTGCCAATTATGACATAATATTCTGAAAGCATTCCTTCTTACTGAATTTGTAAAACTGTTAAAGCAGCTACGAATCTTGTGCACTTTCATGAAGCACATTAAATGTGAGTTGAGGGACTCCCTTAGATCAGTCAGTCAAAACGCAGCTATGTATAAAGCAAGACCATTTCGGAGGCGACTGGATTCGATTCCCGGTCAAGTCTAGGAATTAACCGTGTTGAAAAATGTCGTCATAATAATGCAAAAAGGTACCGGATTACAAAACTCTCAACTAACAACTGGGAAAGTGCTCAAAGAACACTAAGTTGAGAGTCGTCGTAGAGTTTCAGTGCACAGTGGGTGAGGAATGAAATCTAGCAGAAAACAATAATAACGCTCTGGTAGTGCATCCAATTGAGTAGACGACATCAGTAAAGTTTCTAGACTTAGTTAGGACTATCATTTGGTGGATAAAAATAGTTCATGTTTATACCGCAAAAGTTGCACAGCGATACCAACTTTGTCATTTCGCATGCTAGAAATATGCTGTCTTGGGCAAAGTTGTAGAACGTTTTATTTTATGAAAATTAGCTCAAGACATTAAGTGCTGTACATCTTCAAACAACAGAGATTAATGAATACTTTTATAATTTTTCGTCGATCAATTTTGGTCCAACCAATCTTTTAGAGAACAATACTTTCCATTAATTAACAATCAGATGTCACTGCTGTTGTTTGCGATAATATCTAGCGCAAACTACACATAATATGTTTTCCGTTCACAGAGGACGGTGCAGTCAAAAAACCTAGAAATCCCTTTCACAGACTGCAAAATAGAGTACCTGAAACTGCACAACATGTCTAGTACCTCTATATGTGCATTTAGAGATTCCCTTTTGTCTATTTTTGCGGTTTGGATTTCGCAATGGGCATTCTACTACTCATCAGAGTTACTCTTAAGACTTGCTTTTGAACCGTTACGCTATTCTAGGCAATGGCGAAGAGCCGAAAATTGAAAAGAAGGAGAAAGTACCGCCATTTACCGTGAAAGAGTTTCCGCCCGGGGTTCGGGAGAGTATAGAGTTCTATATCGGGAAGGGAGTGATGTGCACCATGCTCACTGAAGGTATCAAGCTGAAGGTTCCAGCAAAAAACCACCACAAGGCCGTCGGAGGGCTATTGAAGCAGAAAAAAGTGGAGTATTTCTCCCACAATATCGAGGCAGACTCAAGCTGTTGGAGAAATTGAAGGAGAACGGTCTGAAGCCGATACAAGTCTTCAAAATTAATCGGCACGACACCTCCCATAAGTTCCGTGACCAGCTGTATTTGGTCCACCTCGAGCGAAACTTAACGTATCAGTACATTCGGGCCCCTTTCCACATCGTGATTAATTGGGAACGTTATGAACCTCGCGACCGTAACATTACCCAATGCTCAAACTGCCTCATGTTTGGGCATGGTACCAAAAATTGCCACATGGCTCGTCGATGCAACGATTGTGGCAAGCAACATGCACACGAAGCATGCGAAAGTATGAAGGACGCTGATCCACAATGCGCAGCATTGTGGTGCAGCTCATTGGGCTACCAGAAAGTCTCGTCCAAAACTTCTCGACCCGGTGCTCGTCAGTGATTCAGATCCTATTGAGCTGTTTGAACCACCATCTGCCATTTTGAAAGTTGATCGCCATCATAAGCCATTAGTTTTGAAAGTTGATATCCGTTCGAGAGACAATCCGTCATCGTATCCAGAAGCACGCAGTGAGCACAATTTCACACGGTGTGATTTCGATGCTAAAAATGTGAGGATCTCAGCGTTGGATTGGGTGAAATTACTTAACTTATCTGCTATTGATGCCGCCGTGTCCGTATTCTATGACAATATTTTTCAAGTAGTCCATGATACTGTTCCGGTAAAAGCTCGTATAGCTTCTATGCATTTCCAACAATCGTGGTGGGATCCGCAATTGCCTAAAAAGTATGGTGCCCAGTAGAGTGATGCAAAATTTGAAATTTTCGCTCCACAATACTTAAACGATTCCAAATCGGATCCTGACTAACCTCTCAAAATTTGAACCCATTTGGTGAGAAACTGAGATGGCACAAACCATTTGAAGTTTGTATGGGAAGTACTATGGTAAAACCAAGATTTTTGTTCATGTCTATCTAATAATTCACCATATCGGTTTGCTTCAAAAACTTTCAACCGTACTTGTAGGAAATTTTTCCAGCTACAACTTTGCTGAAGACCACTTTTGATTAACTGCAAGGATCAAAAGTAATCAATGGTTCAATGCGCTGATGCCTTATGATCATGCTCAATCAACTGCTCAGCAGGTAACATTGGTGTTTCTGAGGCGTTGAATAGGACACAACAATCATGTCTACTATGTCACACTGCAAAATACAGTGTTGCCTATAGAGCAGCTGCTTGATCGTGTCATAAGTTTATCAATCTCTTAAATACTCAATAACTTTTTCCTGCCTCGTTTCACACAAAAATGATCTTGAGCAAAGTTGTAACTGAGAAAATTTTCTATAAGAATGGCTATCGAACTGTTTCATAGCTCAATATGGAAAAAGACTAGAAGGCAATGAACAAAAAGTTGAGATTTCCCATAGTAATTTACATGTAAACTTCAAATGGCTTGTGCGAAGCCTGTTTCTAACCAAATGAGTTGTAACTTTGGGAGGCTAATCAGAACCCGATTTGAAACCATTTAAGCACTGTGAAGCGAAAAAGTCAAATTTTGCATCAGTCTTGCATGAAGTTCGCTTTCGTGAGTATATCGATAACTTCCAGAGTGGCTTCAAAGAAATCCCATCGTCGTTCTGGTGTTTCATAAACGCTCGCAAAAGATCAGCTGGTATTCCGGCAGACGTCACCTACTGTAATCGAAGCTCCTCCTTCGATGCTTTATTCCGAAGGGTTTTCGAACTCGATCAAACTCCTTTGCAGCAGCAGTACATCGACCAGCTACCGAACTACAACATTCGTCTGCTGCGGCTTAACTCTTCAGCCATGACGCTATTTTCAAAGCCCTTTACTCGGTGGATACATCGAAAGGCCCCGGGCCGGATCATATTCAACCGCCTTTCATTCAGAATTGTGCAGCATCGTTGGCCACAACCGTTATGTCTATCTTCAATCGTTCCCTCCTGGATGTCGTTTTTCGGATTCCTGGAAGCTTACATCAATAACACCGATCTTCAAGTCAGGTAACATTCACAGCGTGGAGAACTACCGACCTATCTCGATCCTTAATTGTTTGGCCAATGTTCACGGAACTCTTCTCTATGACAAGTTGTATCCAGCTGTGCAATCTATAATCTCGAAGTTCCAGCATTCCAGCTTGTTTACGTTTTATTTATTAACGACGTGTACGATCATTTAAGTTCCTGTAAGTTGTTATATGCTGTTGATTTGAAAGACTACCGTGTGATCAAATCGATCCTAGATTGTTGTGCTTTACAAACTGACATCGAGCGGTTAACATCGTGGTGTCAGATGAACGGAATGCAAGCAAAAACTGCCAAATGTAAAGTCATTACCTTCACCCGTAGTCACTCGCCGATCAGATTTGATAATTCGATGAATCAATTCCCGCTTGAACGACTTACCTTACCAATTCGGTTGTTGTCCTCTGCTGTCCAAAGAAGTCGTCTCCACTCTACTCGATCCATGGCGCAGCGAGTAAATTTAATATTTATATAATACTATCAAAGTTACCCGCATTATCAAAGATACCCCGTTTTACGGTACCGATAATTTAGTTTATGTGGCTCCAATGCCAAAGATGGTGATTATAAATAAAAACTAGAGAAAATAATGTTTTAGTATAT